AGGCGACATTTTCTAGTTTGGCCGCACCAGAGTGTCAAAGTTGGGTGTTCTCCCATAGCTATGTTATGGTAACATACCAAATTTCAAATACCGTTAAAAATAGTTTCCATAAGCAGAATTTGAATTTTTTTTGCTTAATCGATAGGTATTTTTATATAGATTCACGTGATATAGGTGAATATAGGCGACATTTTCTAGTTTGGCCGCACCAGAGTGTCAAATTTGTGTTTTTTTCCATATGCAGTTTTCGCTAACATACCAAATTTCAAATACCGTTAAAATAGTTTCCATAAGCAGAATTTGAATTTGTTTAGTTTGCTTGAAAGGTAGTTTTATATTGATTCATGAAATGCCCACAAAAATATTTTCTTTTTTTTAATATGGACGGATTAGGCTTTCAAACCAACTATATCTCAATTGCAATTATTTAACATGAGCTCTGTTAAGTCGTTAACAGAGGTATGTTAACAGAAGTGGTAGGTGTCTTTACTAGTTAAATTCGAATTTATCTTCACACCCTTAATTTCAAGATTATCCAGATTATTACAGAATAAATACAGAATAAATTCATGCGGATACAGAAAGCACTTATACTTCATTACCTCAATTTAATTATAGATCATAAATCACAATAACTGAATTTACAAATTTACAAATTGGCACCGAAGCCTTAAATTAAGAAAAACGGGAGAGCGTGTCCCGAGGTAGTAGCAATGAAGATATAATGAACATAGACATTCTTTATTTAAAGTTTCCTTCTATCCCACTTTTAATGATTTAATTAGATCGATACATAGCCTTATTATAAGCTATGCTATTTCATTTTAATATAATATAAAGTTCCATCGAAATAAATCTACGTATGACTTCGTTTTTTCCTTTTTTTTTTGAAAGAAAATCTATTTTTACTTTTAATCAGCTTTTCAGGCTTTTTTATATCCTTAACAATTTTAGACAACATTCATTGTCTTTCTACTTACCTGTATAAATCGTAATGAAAGTATTCTTTAAACACATCAAAAGGTAAATCGGAATTTGGCCAATGATAAATTGTGGCGTAGCAACGTGCTATTAAGCGGCATTGCTTTAATGCTGCCGATAAACAATTAGAACCACGCAACTGAGCCATTTCTTCAATACCGTAATACAAAACTGTATTATAACAGTCGGGTAATAAATCAATGTAGGGCTTCCAAAAGCTCTCCGGATTTAAAGCTTCAGTCATTAATAAAAAAGCCAAACGTAGATTGGATAATTTGAAAAGTTTTCCTCCTCGTTCTATACGTTCTTCGGACATGATTAATTTGTGCGGTATTGTAAAGAGCAAATCATTCCTTTTAATACTTTTGGTAGCGGCCAATCCCAAATCATAGCCAGGATATTCCTTAATTATAACGCCGTCATATTTAATGCCATTATCACGTGACCATTTATAGAATTCATTAATCTTCATTAAACGCTTGCATTTGTTAAGCCTTAGATTCTCTTTCAAAGGCGCCTCCAGAAGTTGTATTTTTTTTAGTAGATTTTGTATAATAACATACTGATCCCATTCTTCCTTAGGATTGACGGGCGTTATAAAAACCACAGACAGTATCTCCGCAACTAAAGCTCGTACCTGGGAACGTACTTGATGAGAAAGAATTTTGTCTGTGACCGCAGCAACAACTGATTCATTCACAGTATTCTTATTAGAATGAAGTTTACTTTTACTCGATTGTTTTTTGCGCTGCTTATCCATAACTTTTCAGTCAACTTAATAGTAGATATTTTCACTTAAGAAATAAATGTAAAATAGCTTTTTGCCGTTTTCCAGGTAAAGGAATAAACCAAAAATGGTCAAATGATGATTATCCCATACAAATTTTTGCAAGACAGCTGTTCATTGTACAAAAACAGGGATGTTTTTTAAAAAAAACATTGAATTAATGACCAACATAATTGATATAGTTACAGTATGCAACAAAATTATATGGTTTGAAAAAATGGTCATATTACTGCATCTTATGTACATGCATACAAAACCAACATATTTTATAATATATATGAAATTTTCTCAAAACAAATTGCAATAATGCATACTGTTATTGAAATCAATGTACTCAACCTCTTATGAATACTCAAATCGTATTTCCACTGCTGCAGTCATTTTGTTCACCGCTGAATGCTACGCATTCCGACCGTATGTGTCACATACGGTACTGGATAGCGCTCAACGTACTGGTGGGTAATCGCGTATCTGAAAATCAGCTCTCCCTTCCTTTTTTGGCGGACGGGTTCGCGTGAATAAAAGCATTCAGCACTTTTTGATAATTATCGGTTTTTTGGAATCACGTATGTTTCTTAGTACGAAAAAAGTTGAACTGAATAAAAATACTACTTGAATATTTAGATAATAGATTAAACATCGAAGAGAGATACCAACAACTTAAATCAACTACACGTATCGCTCATTTATCATTTTGTATATGAGTGGCACCAGCTTAAGTGTTTTCATGGTTCTCTGCAGCGAAGAACGGTACTTGGTGTTTCCCGCTCGGTATGGTTTAGATTTATCTGGTTAATAACAAGAATTTATCCTAAAATTTCAATGAATTACCGTATTTTTCTTCTCTTTTTCCTCTCTTAGCTTCTCTACTCTGTTTACACTGTTATTACGTTTTAAATAAATTTTAAATATCTGAATATTATTTGTATGATTTTATTTAACTCGGCAAGATTATCAATTATCTTTATTGCTTAGTTTTTCTGTAGTTTCAGTCAATTTCGTTTTTTTCCACATTTTAGCGGCAGCCAACAGTTTAAGATTGGGTCGGGTCATTTCATCCTCCGGAAATAGATAGTCGAAAACTTCTTCCCAACCCTCTTCCACACCACTCTCCGAAACAATTTTTTGCCTTTTTTTAACTCTTCTTGGCATCTTTTCTATAACTTTATCTAAACTCTGTGGAGTACCGGAAACTTTCTCAAAGTCCCGCCAAGCTTCCAATAACAGAACTCGGCTTTCCTTATCTCCTATTTGTCTCAAGGTATCATTGGCTCTTTCGTAAACCCTGCGGGCTAAATCTAGGCTCATTTCTTTGTCAGCGTCTTCCATTTCGTGATTTTCGGCGCTTAATTCGAATTTGGCATATGAAATCCATACTTTTACATGTTGCGTGCGCTCTAACAATCTTTCATATAATTGTCGCGCCAGCTCAGATTCTGCTTGCGATACTTCAAAATCTATATAAGCTTTCCATAGCAGCTCTGGCATATCTAAACGCGGCTGCTGTATAGCCAATTCATAAATGCCACGCGATCGTTCTGTATCACCTAAAAGATTCTCCAACTCCGCAAATTTCATCCACGTTACACAATTTTCTGGCCCATATTCTAGAAATTTCTCATATAATAGCCTGCAACGATCAAACTCTCTTAGCTGTATTTCTAACTCAATATAGCCACGAAATAGTTTATCTCTAGGACACATGCCGATAGCCATGCCGAGTGTCTTGCGTGCTTTATTTAAATCCTTACATCTTATTTCGAACTGCACATATAAAAGCCAAATTTTGCTGAAAGTAAATTTTTTGTGCGGAATAAGTTCAAGACAAGTTCTATAAATCTGCCGTGTTCGTTCTAAATCTTCAGTTTCCAATTCTTCAAATAAAGCGTAATTAACCCATAAATAGATATAACGACGCCAGTAATCTTTCTCATTACCGGGAGGCACATTAGCGATTGCACGTTCGTAAGTCTCACGGATAACTTCATAATCACCTTCAGCTACAAATTAAAAATTATTATCAATCATTTTTTTTCGAATGCGAGCGTTACCTTCAATTAAGCGTAGATAATCAAACCATGCATCATAATTTTGGGGGTTATTGGCTACCTCTTGCTCGTATTGGAATTTACGCTTTGAAACAATTACATCTTCAATACATGCCCGATCGCCATACTTCTTCTCGTGTATTGTGTAGGCTTTATACAGATCCTTGGTTTTTTCTTTAGGCAAGTGATCTAAAGCATATTTGTATATGACGCGGGCACGATCATGCTCCTTTTGGCCTTCTTCAAAACGAGCGAAAGCAATGAATAAACGCTCGTCAATAAATTCATCGCCAAAAAATTCCACTGCTTTTTCATAAACACGACGGGCACTATGTATGAAACCGTGTGTCTCTTCAAAGCGGGCAAACTTTATCGAATTTTTTACGTCCGGATGCACATACACAAATCGTTCATATATCGCTCTTGCCCTATCAATTTCTTTATAGCGCAGTTCAAAGTTCACATATGTTTGCCAAGCTTGTTCTTCCGGTTGCCACTCCATCCAACGTTCAAACACTTGTCGAGCACCAGCCACATTTTCTAACATTTCCTCCATGTACGTGTATTTATACCAGAATTGATTCACTCTAGGCATTATAGTCACAGCACGATCCCATAAATTCCGTGCGTGATTTATTTGCTTGTTTTTCATTTCCATTTCGGCATATTTCAGCCAAATGGTAATATTACGGTGATCATTATCTAAAGCGCGTTCCCAAATAGATCGTGCCCTATGTATCTCCCTTTGCGATTCTTCCCATTGAGCATATTTTATCCAATGACTAACGACCATCCGATTTTTACGCAAATTATCTTCGAATGATTTTCGTTTGCGTTGTTGGTAATCTGCTAACTCGGCAGAATCAGAAATTTTTTGTTTTGGAGGTGGTGGCAAAATTTCTAAATCACGTTCCTTAGCCTCGCGCAACAATTGCTCAGCAGTAATTTGTATTTCAGCCGGAGCTTTGTTTTTCACTTTTGCTACTTTAGGCATTTTTTGTGGACGCTCCATAGTATGTATAAAATGATTTTTGTAAGAATAATCCTTTTTATTAAAAATTAAAACAGCCAAAAATTTAGAAGGCTGTACAATGTTTACAAGCAAATATCACAAACAAGAAAAACCAGAGTCACCAAAGTCACTTGACGTTTCCGTTTTTCAGTTGGTTTCGTATCGCATATTTGATAACATTTAGTGTTGCTTGATGAATTTGGTGTTTTGGGACCACGTAGGGATAACAGCTATAAATACAGTCTCTCATACTTATCAAATTATGCCAATGCAAAAGAATTGCTTAGAGTTGCATTTAGAAGAGAAAACAGTTGCAAAGTGAAATCAAAATAAATTCCAAGTCAAATTGTCTACTTACAAACAGTTGAACCTATACAAAAACTTTTGGATTTTTGAAAGATAAGTAAATAAGTATTTTTTTTGGACTTTTACTCCAATTATCTAATTAATACTTTTAATTTATCAAAGCTGGGTCGTAGTTTTCGGGTTAAAAACTCCCAAATGGTAAAAACAATGGGCCACCGTGCTACTATGTTGCATTACACCAAAATGTAAACTAACAAAAACATATGATTTTAGAATCAAAATAAAGAAATTAATGTAAACATAAACAAAAAATTTATAAAATATAATAAGGAAATTAATGTAAAAGTAAATAAGACAACTAGATATACATGTATTACATATATTTTTGCGTATTAATTGATCCATAATTTGGAAATTACCATGTATCACTCTCCAATGATACAATTTGATGAATATGTTTTAATTTTAAAATAATGGCTTGTTTTTTATTTCTTATAAAATAATGCATGGGATAAACCAAAATCGCATATATAAAAAAATGTATATTAGTGCAAGATGAATATATATTAGATAATAATTTCCAACTTTGAAGTAAATTACCTTTATATATTCTTGTTTGTGAAAATAGTTACGCTATTCGATATTTACAAGTTTTATCATGGGTTAAAATATGTCATACCGTGCATATCAAGAGTGTGAGAGCTTTTACACCACCGCGGCCTAAAGAGTTAACAATACGTCTCTGACTTTGAATTTCATATTATTTCAAAATCAGCTGTCCTCGATTTGCAAACAAAAAATTTATGCAATATTAAGTGTTTCAATTAATGCAGGCACAATATAAAAGTATAACTAAAAAGTTATGAGTTTTCCCACCAAGGAGCAAAGAATCAAGTGTTGGTCTTCTCGCGACGAATACTGGAAATGCCTTAGTGAAAATGCTCCGCAACACAGTTCGACTAGTGGCGAAAACGTGCCTAATGCTTGCGAAAGACTAAGGAAACTCTTTGAAACCCATTGTCCTGGCCAATGGGTTAAACACTTCGATCGCAAAAGAACCTACGAACAATTCAAAGAACGAATGGAACGAGGTTACGACCCCCTAGAAGAGACATCAAAAGGCTTTAAAGCAAGCTGAACTATGACTTCGTTTTAGTAATAAAATGCTTTAATTAGTGTATTAAAAACAAAATTGTGTACATTTAAATAGATATTACGATTCAAGAGCTTCATCTTTAGGCAAATCGACTGAGACTGACACAATATGTTTGCCGGGAATCATGACATTACCCAAAATTCGAGCATCTTTACCCTCCTCCAAATATTCTGCGCACATAGATAATACAACATTGGCGTCCTTATCGGTACAATTAAAATATCCGACCAGGACTCTGCCGTCGCTTATTACCACACGAAAAGGTTTACCCAACCATTTCCGTAAATGACGACGTCCAGGTGTAAGGTTACTTTCGTTCATCTGGGCAGCGTTTGTAATAATATTGTTGAGTAAGGTGTTCTGTTAAACATGTCGAAAAAGAATTATTACAAAATCACTCAGAAGATATATATTACGAATAATTAACATCAAAAATTACATCAAAGGGTTTGGTGAGATTTGCGAAACTCATATTCGTTTATAAATGTGAAGGACTTATATTTTGCTTAATGATAAAGACTGCTGTTATTATTTTGTTTTAATACAGTGTTGTTATATTTATATCGTAAATGTTATTAAAATATCGTAGTTTGTTATGAAATCAGTGTGCGAAAATTGGCGACTCTACGAATAACGTTTGTTTATAATTGTTTACTTAATTTGCAACAAGTGAAGCTCGTGCACTTTATTACTCCTAACTGAAACTTTTCCTATTCGTGAGATAATTAGCCGCTTTTATTGGTACATGTTTATTAGTTTATAATAGCTTTCCAATGTCGGAAATTGTATTCGCCGTTTTAACAAGTGAGTATGGACGCAATTGTACAACAAATAAGATAAAAATCCCATGATTTCTTGCTTAAAGTTAGTGACACCTGCCATCAAGATTCCTCTAAAGATCGAAGTGGGCCTCGATTAGTACAGTTGCTTAAGGATAGCTTTGCTAAGCCTCTTGTTTTCAAAGAAATTATACCTGATGATCGCGACCTTATTGAAAACAGGTTAAGGCAGTTAAGTCGTGAGGATGTTGGTATATCTGCCATTTTTACGACTGGTGGTACTGGTTTTGCGCCTCGTGATGTTACTCCAGAAGCCACGAAACAAGTTTTGGATAAAGATTGCTCACAATTAAGTATGGCTATCGCTTTACATTCCTTAGAGAAAACCAAATTTGCTGCTTTATCTCGCGGTGTTTGTGGTATAGCAGGCAAAACATTAATATTAAATTTTCCCGGTAGTGAGAAGGCTGTAGTCGAGTGTTTTGAGTATGTTAAAGATTTGTTGCCACATGCACTGCATCTTCTGAATAATGATTCAGCGTTGGTGCTGCAAACACATAAAGATTTACAAGAGGACCAAGGTGTTCATCTGCACCATTCGTGTCCACATAAAACTAACACAGGTGCGGATGCGGACCGTAATTCCCCTTTCCCTATGATACAAGTTAATGACGCTCTGCATATCATTATGAAAACCATACGACCACAAAAGAATCTCAAAAAATTTTTACTCGAATTTGAATCTCCAGTCGACATACCGCCGTTTAAAGCATCCATTAAAGACGGTTATGCAATGAAATCGTCAGGTTTTTCGGGTTCAAAGAAGGTCCTCGGTTATATAGCAGCGGGTGATCCAATTTTTGCTACAGATCTGGAAGAAGACGAATGTTTTAAAATCAACACCGGTGCTCCTTTACCTGAGCACACTGATTGCGTCATACAAGTGGAAGATACTAAATTGTTGAGATGTAAAAAAGATGGTAGTGAAGATTTGGTGGAAATTTTAGTAGAGCCTAAAAAAGATTTAGATGTCCGCTCAAGTGGTTACGATTTGGCAAAAAACTCCAAATTATTCCCTTCGTTGGACTTTTCGCCGGTGGTAATAAATTCACTACTGGCTTCTGTTGGAGAGTCCACACTCTTAACTAAGCCTTCAATAGCTGTGATCTCAACAGGCAATGAACTCTTAAGTCCACAACAACCAGCACAATCAAATAAAATCTATGATTCGAATACTACTTTACTACAAGAATTACTGCAATACTTCAATTTTCCAGCTCAAATAACTCAAGTGCTTAGTGATGAGTACTCTATTTTTCTTTCCTAATTCACAGTACTCCTTAAAACTGATTATTTTTTAGTTTCGATGAAGTGTTTGAGACTCTTGCTCAGATGTTTAAAAAAGTCGATTTTATTATCAGCAGTGGCGGCGTTTCAATGGGCGACAAGGATTATATTAAACCAGTTTTAGCAAAATTGGGCTTTCAAATACATGTTGGACGTGTGAACATGAAACCGGGGTAAGTTATCGGACAATTATCGGAATTCTGACTAATTGTTAATGTTTTTAGTAAACCAATGACTTTTGCTTCGAAAGAATCGAAATACTTTTTTGGCCTGCCCGGCAATCCAGTATCAGCATTTGCTACTTTTCATTTATTTGTTTTGCCAGCTTTACGTTGGTTTAATGGTTGGCCTTACGGAAAGTGCATGTTGCCGATTATAGAAGTGATCGTAAGTTTACTATCCTTTTTATATAGACAGTTTTATTTTTAAAGCCAGTCGACAAAAAACAGATTTTCATTTTCTTTTAGTAAAAGTCGAATAAATAACATTTATATGTAGCTAAGTTAGATAGATAGTTTTACGCGCACAATAAATCCCGATTTAAAATGAAAAAAAACTTACATTTTATGATTTTAAATTTCCACCACTGGTCTCTCGGGTTCTGGCCGCTTTTTCTTAAAACTTTTTACAATTAAGTATTTCATGCAAATGTTAGAGGCATTCACTCAAAATTCGATTGCAAAAATTTCACAAAAAGTTCGTTTTGAAATATTTTTGTTTCTCTATATAATTTTAAAATACTTTTATTAATTTTAAATATATTCAGCTGTGCGTAACACATATGCACTTGCTTTTTATTCGACGCATAAGGAAGGTGAAAAGCTATAAAAAGTATTCCCAAATTTCACAGGTGACATTGTTCTCAATACATTAAAAAAACAATTATTTATGTGATATATAAAAATTATATGAGCAAATCCTAATACTCACAAAACGACAAAACTAGGGAAATAAGGACCTCATATACTTTACTTCACTTAATCATACAATGTTATGTGACGTAAGTGAAATGAAATAGGAAAACGAAATATGTACGTATCGTTAAAGAAGATCATGAAACTCATTACGCACTTAAAGTCTTATGTTAAAATTATTTTGCATTTCAAGACAAATTTTTGTGCACGAAACCGTAGTTTTTGGAAATATACTGCTATCGTATCGTTCCGTATATATATATATATATATATATATGTATATAGAACGCTCAGCAGTCATTATCGAAAGTCTTGTAAATTTTGTAATAACTTAATAAAATAAATTCCTAATGATTTTAGTAATGCTCGGTTAAACTGAATTCTGAATTTCTATAATAATTCTGTACTTGAAATAAAACAATGATTAAACTCAATTGAATATTGGGAACATGACATGTAGGATTCTAATCAAAAACTTTCGGTATTCGATATCGATATATATTCCTTTAAGACACATATACTTGATAATACAATTTCAATCTTTTTTTTGTAATACGAAAAGACGAAATTAATTATTGATTGAGTAGCCATATATACAAGTGCGAGTGTGTTTTATTTATTTTAGTTAGACAATGATAAACTTTCATTGGATCCTAGGCCGGAATATATGCGGGCCAGCATAACTAGTAAAAGTGGTCGACTTCATGCTTCAATAACCGGTAATCAGGTTTGTAGAGAAAAAAAAAAAAAAAAAAAAAAAAAGTTTTTTTTTAATAATTAATAAATTTAATAAGTCTATTATTATATGCACATGGTGTGAAAACACAATCTTTCTTTTCATGCATCGTTTTTGAACAACGAACGAATCAACAATTAAAATCACTTTCGTTTAAAAATATACATATGGATATGTATATACGTGCACGCGAATATATATATATATATAGATAAGCAGCCGTTTGCAGAGTATTGTTGGAGCCGATGTACTCGTGCACCTGCCAGCACACGCAGAGGATAAACCGGACGCCAAAAAGGGTGATATTTTACTAGCGAGCGTGTTGCGTTACGATTTTATAACCAAATATGAATGAAAAAAAAAATGGAAAGCAAGCAGTAGCACAGCAATAGCAATAACAATTGAAATAACTATATTGAGTATAATTGGAATTTTGATTAGTTATTTTGTTTGTTTTTATTCACTTGTTAATGTAGAAAAGAAATTAAATTTCTTTAACCCAAAAAAAGCTTATACTTATTTAATAGTTTTTAAATGTATAAAACTCCTTTAGTTGGCCATTATTCATTGCTTGATACCGAATAAACATATATATATATATATATATATATGTTTAAGAAAGTGAACATATGACTCGGAAAATGTTGGATTTTTGTTCAGAAAAACGAATTTGTTACAAAAACAAAAAAATAAAACCTTTCTTCTCTTTTTCTCTTCTTTTCGAGGAGCGCTTCGCCCCTATAATCTTAGTAAAATTTCCTATATGTCTTAGACATTTCATTTCTTTGCTGACCAACGGGAGTATATAATTTGTTTGCAATCTTTTTACATACATTAAAAATAAAAATCGCAATTTTTCTTGCTATGTTTTTTTACATAAAGCGTACATTACTATTTTGACTTTGTGATCGGAATTCGACAGAGTAGCGCTGTTTGCATTTTAATTAAATAGGATAAACAATTTTTGATATTTCCTTTAATAAGCTTATGAATATGGTCTGCAATGCTTTATGTATGTATAGCATCAACGATTGAATAAAAATAAGAAACATTTGTGATATTATGTAAAAAACAAACGCTTTTTTTTTTTTTTTTTTTTTTTAAACAAAAAGATTTTTAAAGATTCTCTTTAAAAAAATTGTAGTTTTGAAAATTTTTAAACGCGTTGTACTGCACCCATTATTAAAGAAAAGTTTTGTCGTCTTTTATTATTGTTATTCAGGTTGTTGGAATTGTTATCGGCGTTGTTGTTCTTGTTGTTTAGACGCAAGGAAGAACGGCATGGCAGTGTGAAATGATATTTATTAGAAGCCAATAAAGAATAACGTTCATGTGGTACATTATCCCATAGAGATCGCTCCACTACATGCAAAGCATTTGAACTTAAAACGTTAGCTGTGTAGGTTGTTGGGGCACCACTGGAGACTAAAGATAGAAAAATTATATAAAAGAAATTTTTTTTTTTCTTTTTACAAAATGCAACAAGCAAAGCAACCATCACATTAACACTTAGTCACTCAACATTGATTAGCAACCCAATTTTCTTGTTGAGTGCCTCGCTGTTGTTGCGGCTGCTGGTTGCAAAAGAAACTTACTTTGTGCGGTTGGCGGTTTATAGAGCGTCTCGGCATGCAAACCGCAAGTGTCCAAAAACACTACATTCACACCGAACGGTTGCAATTCGCGCCTTAACTCTTGCACACATTTATCGGTGGCTACACGCGATACATGGTAGGCGATCATACCTTCTGAGTTACCGCCACTACTACCAGCACCCAAATAAATCAAACGACCTCGTGTTGGACGCAAGAAGCTAACGAATGCCTTAGCTATACGCAATGAGCCCAATATATTCGTTTTAAACATTTGTTCCATCTGATTTAACTCTTGTGTTTCAATCCGTCCCTTGCAGAAAGTACCGCTGGTATTAATAACCGCGGCAATACCCTGTTCCCCCGGACATAAATGTGAACCTAAAGTTGACGTAGCATCACGTAATATATCCTCGCGTGTTACGTCCAATAGTATAGGTATAATTGTGCCACAGACCGGTGCCTCAGTGAATTCACGCATTTTCAACCAACCAACCAATAATTTTGCTGGTAAACTATTCACACCGTCACGCATACCGGCTATAACACAGCAACCTTTATTAGCCAAATGTGTGCATAATTGCAGACCCAAAGCAGTATCGGCACTGGTTACCAAAACCGTATTCGACTTTAATGGCTCACTCCTCTTAACATCATCATCGCGAACTTTACAAATCAGATAAATAATTAAAGCTCCGGCTATGGAGAAAAGTGCCAGTAATTGAAAAGCTAAAACTAATGCAGTCATAGGTTCCATCATGACATAGCTAAAAAATTGAAAGAAAAAAAAATAAAAAATAGTAATGGGATAAAATAAAATATATAATGCAATTAATAAAATTAAAGATAAATCAAGTTTTGCTTCGTTTATCTTCATAATAAATCTGTAAACGTGACAGCGAATGTTATCATTACATCGTTCTGTTCGTTGTCTATTTGCCATATTAGCATTACGCGATATTGATAATCGCGAGAATTGAATTAAAAGTAAAAGTGATCGAAGGCATTGATGAAATTAATTTTCTCTCAAAGTATGATAAACAATTTCGATTGAAGATGAGTTGCTTAAATATTGTCAATAAATTGGAAATTTGTCTAATTTTTATTTCTACGCATTTAAAATGTAATTCGAAAATTTTGCAAAAGCAAAAACAAAAAAAAAATGAATGTAATAGTTTTTAAAAGCGTTTTATTCGCTTACTTTGAATTTCTATGAGTATATGATAATAAAAGGTTTCAACAAAAACTACAACAACAACAACAACAATAATAATAATAATAATAATAATAAAACATGCCAAACGTCCAACGAACCAGTAGAGAGTTTTTATAAAAAATTAGTTTCTCGGGCATAAGGCAGAAGCTAAACTATATGTCCATACAGGCAGAGTTATTAGGCATTACAACAGCGACTGCACACACATTATACATACATGCATACATACATGCATACATACATACATACATACATACATACATACAATTAGTAATACAATGCAAACTAAAAAGTTTACTAAATAAACCGTAAAATACGAAAACAGAAAGACGTTAGAAAAAGAAAATCTCTACCTAGCTGGTTAATGTGTGTGCATACAAAAAAGCAAAAGCAAAAATAAAAAAGGCCAACACAATCACACAAAAAAAATAGAAAAGCGAAAAAAAAAAAAAAAAAAAAAAACCAAAAAGATTTCTTTTTAGAAGTAAAGTCTGAAGTCATGGATAGTTGGCGCAAGACACGGAAACTATAAAAGCAATTTTAACAGGAAATTTTTTAAAAAGTTTTTCTTCATTTTTTGATTTCCTGATTAAGGAGTAGTGGAAGAAAAAACAAAATTCAATTCAATTTTCGTAAATTTCCTCCAAAGTTTGTGCTTTCGCTTTCATTTTAGCATTTCCCATAAAAAGTATTATAGTAAAATGAAATTGCAATTAAAATAAAGCATAAATATATTAATAATATTAATAATAATAACAATAATAATAATAATAATAAACATATATTTTCGTTTTAGCTTAGAAACTTTATTGTGTGTCGCCGCTTTGAATAAGAAATGAAACGTGACTAAACTAAAATTGTTCATATTATTTATTTCATTTTATTATATTTATTTATTCAAATTCCAATAAATCAATGTAAATTCTATTATAAATTCAAGGCAAATCGGACCTTATATATTACTGATTCTATTCATATTTTTATACCCTATACTATACCATTTGTAGTATTAGGTAGGTTAAGTTAGTGTGGTCGTATGTAATACGCAGAACGGCTTTAGATAGATCTAGGACTTAACTAAGGACATTATAGTCGGCCAAGACCGTCGATTAAATACCCTACACTATATTGTCATATTTTTCATGTACGTATTTATGGAGCAGCGGGCCGAAAACACGGTCTAATGTACTACAAGTATAATCCTTACATAGGGCAGCATCCGAATATGGTCCAAATTTTGTAGAGTTCATTTTTATATGAAATTGTTATTATGGATCAATTTCAATCACCTTTTTCTGCTTTACAAAGGATCAATTTTCGTGAAAATCCTTACATAGGGTACGATACAAAAAAAATGGGCCGAGATAATCCAAATTTGGTGTAGGTTATTTTTTTTTGTAATAAACCACTATTATGATGTAACTTTCATCATGAAGCATTGGAAATTACACCTTTTTCTCGGGTAATTTTTACTTCTCGTTATATGAGAGAGGGTTCAAAAATTACCCTTGCCTGTACAAAGTTTTCATACCAATTTAGAATGCTGTAATGCTACTACTTATCTACATTTGACGAGAAATTTTGAAAAATTGCAATATGTTTCAATGAAACGATTTGTTAGGATAGGGCGTTATATTAATCAGTAGCGTTCGTGCTTGGGTCAAAACACGTTAATGCACCAAATTTCATGGAAATATCTCAAAAATTGCGAGCAGCAGGTCGAACACAAATTTACATGGAAAGATATCAGACGGACAAACGGACAGACAGGCTTAGATCAATTCAGATGATCGGTTCTGAATCGATCAGTATAATAAAAGGTGGATCTATCTTTAAAAAAAAAAAAAAAAAAAACGCACCTTGCCCGGCAAAAATCCAGGAAAAATAGTCCTTGATTATGCCAATAAGATCGGTGGTATCGACAGAAGCGGCGAAGTAATTGTATCATGCACACTTGCAGAACAATGAATAGAGAAATACTGCCAGAAAATATTTCCCCACCTCTTAGACGTCATGTGCTTGTTTCGGTGAATTATAGTTAGTGAGCAAATACCAACAACAGATTCTAACTGACTGCATTGGCAGCTATTCATAATTCGCTCTAATGTATGGATGAAAGTATGTTTTCTTTATTCTATCCTGCTTGAGAGAATTTTATTATTTCTTGGCATCCCATTTGTATTGCGTTCGAGATGTAGGATATATAAGCCATCGATAGACATTCAATAATGAATTCTCTTAAGACAGATCCAATCCAAGTCCACTTGATATCGAATAAGCAAAATTGCAATCCTTATTATTAGCTCTACATCAGTCTTCAGTCATCCTGCTGATTATCTTAAGGGCAGAATTACATAAAAAAAAAAAAACTGATATCAGAAAGAAGTAAACAAACTAAACATACGTCACTGCAATCGGTATACAATTCCATGTACGTATTGATGAAAATTCTTAAACCTCTCACTTCAAAAATATATCATTGATAGCCATGCGCAGCCAGCTAAACAGTCAGGTTATATATATGTGTATATAAAAAAAAAAAAAAAAAACAAAACAAAAAAACAGACGAAAATTAAAAAAAAAACAAATAATGGAAAACATTTCTTTTAACTTAGCTTAATGACACACTAACCCGTTTGAGCAAAGCGGCACATAATGAACTAGAGAAATGGGTAAAAAGCAAAGAAAAGAACGCAACTTTTATGTACCTATGTCTATTTCGATGATGATGATGATGATGATGATGATAATGATGATCGATGCGATTTATATGATCTTTCCATTTCTATTTTCGATCGTCAATGAACAACGACAACAACAACAACAACAGCAGCAATAACAGCAACAACTTATTGCGAAATCACAGGAATACCAAGAGAAGGCTGTCAAGGCAAAAACATTGTACCGTATGTTCTGGAATGTTATTATTGCACATTTGTCCAGAATGTACCTAAGTGAAATTGTACATGCGTACAACATTGCACGCATTTTAGATAGACTAAGAATACACGATTGAAGGAGAATTGAGAGAAAAGCAAAAGCCATTCAACACAAAAATTCTCTCAAACGAATTATAGGACAAGTAGATAGATAGACATCTTGTTAGAACCAACAAAAGTGTTCTCTTCTATTATTACTATTATTACTATTATTATTATTATTATTATTATTATTATTATTATTATTATTATTATTATAAATTTATTAGCCAGAGAATAAATTCTAAGACTAAAGATCTTAAAGCTCTAATGTCTATGGCTTTCGGCTTTTATTAAAAACTCTACCGCATTTGAGATTTGAATCCACAATCATTGAGTTGCTAGTCGAGGCTCATTGCCTACTCGTCCACTTAGGAGGATAGGGTGTTCTTCTAATTCAATAAAATTGAATCCAATCAAGCTTTTTTATCAACAATAGTTGCTATGATTTTTTTTTTTTTTTTTTTATTACATTTTTATTATACCGTTGATCATTGACGCCATTTAACAAAATTATTTATATTAAATGAATATGGAAATCATATGACAGTTAGGCCGATTGAAATTATTTTCCAATTAGATAAATTTTACTCCGCCCATTTCCGAGTATTGCAAAAGAAAAACGAAAATTTATATGTCGCCTCGAAAAAACTATTAATAATGAAAAGTTTATATAATCAGTCAACCATGAGTTCGATCGATTTCGTATTGTTGAACTTAATTGCAAAATTTCGAAGACCGTGTGCAATTTACAAAATTTGTGTGCAAGAGAGTCTAAAGGCCATTCTTTGTATATATTTGTAAACGTAACACGTTTACTCAACTAATAACTTTTATGGTCTATTAAACAATTAACATTTGGTTAATTAGCGTTGAGCGCATGTCTTCGCGAAGATTTATAACATTCGCAAACTTGCAAACGGACAATATTGCTTTAAATTGCTTATCCGCTACAAGATCAATTGTCAATCGTATTGCATAACTTAATTTGGTAAATAGGTATCTGCGGAGTAACTGCATTCACCTTAACACTCTAACTGTATAAGAGAAATAATTTTCTACTTAATTGCAGATGTGTGCGGAGTAGACTGATCGTAGTAAATCGTTTTTGGCTTCAGCAAAATCATAATATTAAACATTTGGACTAACCCGAAAACACTGAAGTAGCATAAGCCTAACAGGTATTCGAACAAATTTGCGATCAATTGAAAATAAAAATGATAGGAAATTTTTTTTTGCCCCCCCCCCGCTATTCCGCCCTGTATAAACGAAACATTGCAATCATTTAACTGACACACATTTCTTTCTATAAATCAACAATCATCAATCGTTCTGTCCAAGCAAACGAATAAGAAATATTTGCAAAAAAAAAGTAATTCGTTTACCTTCGCTTTTAAGTGTAACTTTCTCATTTTTTACAAACATACAATACTTGTGTATTGTATGTGTTGTACGTAAAACGCAATGCACCATTAATGCACCTATACTTTGTGCATACGCGCATACATATATATATATATATATATATATATATATATATATATCTATTCGTATTGCTAGATAACTAAAATAA